GCTGCACCAGCCCGCAGGGCACGCGCGTTTTCGGTCCTCCCTGGGAAGGGAGGCGCACGGTCGGGGATACGGGACGGGCCGAAAGCTGCATTTATCGGCACGGGTTGAGAGCCTGAATGCCTCTCTCCAGGGGCAGAGCAGGACGTGGGACTTCAGCTTGGGTTACAGCTCCCGAGTCTGCCATCGATGGGGATCAAACAACGGCAATCACCCACTCTTCCCGTGGAGCTGAGGGAGCAGGAGGCCTCGCTGCGGTCAGAAAGAAAGGAGTGTCCAAGGAGAAGGAAAAAGGAAAATGAATATATTGTGCCATAACGACCTGATAGCACGTTTACTAGATGATAATCATACCAAAAGAGAAAGCACTGGCGGTGGAGGAAATGCATGAGGTGAGAAATCCATTATATCCAGGCACACTACTGGAAAGCTTGGCCACAAAGAAGAGCAACTTGAGATGCAGAAAGCCTGCAGACGGCCTTTGCCGGGATCACGCACCCATCTTCATTCTCAGAGGCGGAAAGCCTGCCCTGGCCACACTGGGGGCTCGAAGGCCGCGTCGCCACTTGGGTTCCTCTGAGCTGCTCCCGCCTCTGTCCCAGTACCCCCTCCTCCTTCTGCTGAAGCACGCGATCCTGCTCCAACAAAGCCAAGCGAGCCACTCGTACCACGCCCGCAGATGACCAGCATCGTAAGCTCTCCGGAAGGCTTCATTTCTGAGCTTTCTTTTGGTCCTCAATACATTGCGTTGTATTACAGGTGCTACCTGTTGGAAATCAGCACCTGGGCAGCCACCGCTTCCCTGCCGCAGCGCCACTGTGGTGGACTTACTGAAGTCAGGATGACAGAAGATCCTGTAAAAACACGGCTCAAACACGACCTCGAAACCTAAGCCCTTCCCTCTTTGCTCACTTTTTCCCCCAAAGACTTCCCATTCCATACCCCATTCCTTCACAGACGCTTCCAACCAGCACAGCTTGCTCGTTCCTGACTCTTACTGGTCAAAATAAGAAAGGCAGAAAATGTCTTGGCAAACACTTAACGTAAAAGGTCAGATGCGATTCAACTATCAGCAGGTAAACTGGATGAAGGCTTCAGGTTAAAGATCAAAGAACAGCAAAGCCTGAGGATGCAGTTAGGGTGGGAGGTGACCGTACAAAGGAGCCACCCGGATTGCACGATGCTAGGTGACAGCGGCATCCGACGCTTACAAAGAACACTGCACTAAACGACTGCAAAGCCTCTCATAGAGTAGCTGTTATCATTACTCGGTAAAGGCAGCTCTGGCCTGCAGGTCCGAACAACGTCCACGTGCCCTTGAGTTCGGGCTATACAAAGGCCCAGGTCAAACCTCGTCAGTGGGTAGGTGCCTACCGACGGCACCAGCCTGGGTACAAAACGTTACCAAGTCACAGCTTGGCAAAGTTGCATGAGCACTCAACAAGGAAAACCAAGTTTTAACAGAAAAACATAATTTTTGCCAACAGTCATGCCCATACCTCATGCTCAGTTGGCTCAATCCAAAACACCCTGACCATCACCGCTCCGCTCAAGTCAGAGCAAAGCTTAAGGCGGAAAGCTCCAGTGTGAAACGGTCCCAGTAAAAGCCCTCGCCCCAAAGAGACTACACAGAGCCTGTTAGGGCGAAAGAAGCACGTTGGGTTGCGTTATTTCACGGGCAGGAGCCCAGGAGACGGAGAGACCGTGCGTACCCGAGGAGCAGGCAGAGCTGGGAGACCCGTCCGCCCGTCCCGCTGCCGGCAGAGGCAGGTCACGCTGCGGGCGCGCAGACACGGTCGGGTCACGAAACCTGAAATGAGGGTGATCTCCTGGAACCTCCGAGATGGGAGAAGCTCCACAAAGGACACTGTGAGGATGCTGGGCAAAGCCAATCTCCACATGCCCCACGGCAGAGCACCCCGAGTCCCCGCGGTGGTCGGACAGCGCCAGGGCCCACAGGGAACCAGCTGCTTTGGCAGGGGACACACCAACCCAGACCAAGGTTTTGGAGTTCAACCTTTCGGTTCCAGCTCAGCTCGGGCCTGTCTCCAGTTCATAACTGCTGTGACGAGCTGCGGCTGAGACCGGCCGCGGGGGCCCAGCACGGACAGGACCCCCCACCCAGAGCACACCTGCAAGAGTCTCACCTTCTCCACTCCGAATTCCCTTCAAATCTTCATTATTTTCTAAACTCTGATTGTTTCCATAGTTCAATTTACTTTGTTTTCCAAACCCGTAGCCATTTCTTATAATAAAGGGGAGCTGATACAACATATTTATTACCATTTATCATTGAAACTTTTATAAGACTACTTATGAATTAATCAACAATACCTGCTTTCACAAACGCTGCTGCATTAATCTCCATATCCGCTGCATAAACCGCATTGAGAACAAGTTAATATACATATTTTAAGAGAAATACAGCAATATTTCCACCCTATCAACTAAGTATATTACAATCTAGTTAGTCAATTTATAAATGCATATACTCCATTCGGCATTATAAACCCTGGCAGTTCAGCGTGACACAGTCTGGACCCTAAATATAACCTGACCTTTTGTAAGGGATTTGTTCTGTTTGAGACACCCAGGTGCCTTTTCTAAAGCAGCACCGTTTCAAATGAAATGCATGCTTCACGATACATGAAGACAAGAAGACCCAAATACCTCTCTGTATCTGCGCTTAAAAAAGGCTGCGTTTCCTTCGGAACCATACTGTTCTCGTATTCGCGTAACTGGACTCCTATTTTAATTTCCTTATTCTTGGAAGACAGAGCTATGGTAATGCCTTTTCATATTTTCTTTTCTAATAAATTGTACGGCTTATTAAGATAATTTGACGTATTTGAAGTGCATATTCTACTTGGAGATAATTTGGCTTAGAAATAAAAATACTGTTAAAATAGTTGAGAGTATTGAGCTGTAGAAGTATTTCTGTACAACAACTGTATTCACAAAAAATTAAAGGAAGCACACATTTGAGACTAATCTGCGACAAACATAAATTGCCTTTCATTCTTTCGAAGCAAGAAGCAATCCATAAAAAACTTTTTGCAGCAGTTATAAATCCCTGCACGGTGACATTTCCAGC